AAGAAACGTGTTAATATGTTAATAACTAACCAGAGGGAACCTTTTTTTAATTTGCATTGATATGTCTTATTGAAATCAAAACGCGGAGCAGATCTTGCTGGGTAATTATAAGATTCTCATCAATAGTAAACAAACGATTGGTATTTGGTTTTTCGTAATCGTTATTATTATTATTAACATTAATATTATTATAATTAGTTACAAGATGTCAAGGCAGCACACTGTTGAAAAAAGAAACAATTCGAATATGCAATGTTTGATTATTGAAAATTAGCAAGTGTTGAAGCACGCACGCTACCTTGAACACTTTACAGTCATTCTATCTTCCTTGTGTACACAAGGCTAATCTTGACCTGGCGAGCTGAAGATATGATGATGCAATTAATTTCCAGAAGTTGCGTGGATCTGGAGTTTACAGAGACTGCATCAATCGTCAATGACGCTCTCACTAATCTTCACAGCACCCAGACCAGAAAAGGCTGCTGCCATGTTAACCGAAAAGTTTCCTGCAACGATCCTACCTCTAGGGTGAGGATGGCTCTGTGACCAAGTTGCAACTCTGTTGATGAATTGTAGTGCTATGTAAACATATAGGTCTATTGAAGCAATAGCTCGTTTCAAGCACAGGAGGTTGCAATTCAGAACAGGGTTGGTGACCCTGAAATTGCATTTGGGCTTTGATGTTAAGAGGAAAATTGTAAAATAGTGTTTGTTTTGTATAATTATTTTCCTAAATTCTCTGTTTCTTTAATACTTACCAATTTTTATAATTTTGGGTAGGGGTTTTTGCCCAATCAGTCCCCTGTCCTATAGATCAAAATTATTACATGTTTATATACATCTTTGTCAGCAACATGGTCAACAAGAGAAAAATCATAAAATGGTTCAGGTTTTGTTTGGTATGTTATATATAAAATTAATCATTCCCAAATTCTCTGTTTCTTTAATTTTTATTTGACCAACTGAACTTGTTATTTAAATGGGGGTAGGGTTGTTGGTGAGTAGATGCACCACCAACAAGACAGCAACCCAGGACTCAACTCGGAATTCAGGAAAAATCCAAAACAATAACCCAGGTTGCAATCTCCCAAGTTGAACCAGTTGCAGACACCAACTTTATTCTAGAGAGGTATTACACACAAATACTGATCCTCATCGACATCAATGCCCATATGGTAACAGTCAAGCCTGGTCTGAGGGGAAGTTAAGAGAAGTTTTGTCCAAAGCCTTCCAGCTTGTAAGTGTCTTGCCTGTGGAAAAATCCGTAGGGATGAGATGGTGTGAAAACACCCGTTTGCAATGTTTGTGATAGGAAATTTTTATTAAATCTGATACCTATAATCAATAACATCAGATTTATTATTGGCTTTAAGGAACTATACAACGGGAAGGAAATTTTTTTTTTTGATCCTCCCTATTTATTTATTCTTGTGAACCCCAGAGATCTGGGTAGACATGCATTATTAAAAGTTTCATTTATGCATTGCCTTGGTATTATTTATTACCTGGGTGATGCAATTGTTTGTTATGTCAATGATAACATCAAATGTATTGAAGAATAATCATGACCATTGTGAATATTTGATGGATGGAGGCATTAACATACAAGGAAATGAAGGAAATGATTAAATAGCTAAGTCATATTTGTTTTATTAAAGATGTATGATTAATTATATTTATATACAATAAAAAAAATTGCATGAAATCTAAGACTGCACCACTATGTCAATCAAGCTATCAAGCTGTTATGTTCGTGCATGATTTAAAATTCTTTTGTGCTAATTTAGGGTCTCATCTTTCTTTGCTTATATATAATCTATTGGTTCTCTTTTTACTGGTCAAATGATCCCAAATTGGGTAATGGGGTATCAGGATCTGATATCTGAATGCCAAAAAAATAATCAAGGTATTGGCATACTGATAAGTCAATAATAATCTTAGTGTCACCGATTAAATTTGGGAGAGTGTGTTTTAATTGGTGGTAATAATTATTTTTGTATTTGTGTGGATTAGAATGAATAAGTTATCAACGAATTGATTTTGGATTAGCGAATAATTTTGTTTAAAGATAAAAGTTTTAAATAAAATAAAATATTTATTATTTTATTTATTTAATTTTCTTAGTCAAAACTAATTAACTTATTTGCAAGTTTTCCTTAGTCGAAACTAATTAATTAACTTATCACAAAGTTACTTTTTTTACATTAGGCTGAAATTGAGTTCTTTATATACAATTCAATTAATTAGAAATTCTAATATCACAAGACAATTCTTTCTTAAATTACGACGTTATACAAATAATTAGTAAAATAAAATCAAACAAGTTTACAAATGAGGAGCTATCGAGATTTTCATTTACGTTTCTAAATTCGCAGAAAAACATACTTGAAAAATTATTAATATGTTACAATTTTTTCAAAAAAAAATTTTATATACGTGTGCATAATAATAAAAATAAACATGTAGTTGCACAGGTATGTGTTCTTAACAATTTCGAACATGTTGATTGCAGCAACAACAATCAATGATGGGCATATAAACATATGTATGAACACATGTTAACATTGCAGCATGGATGACATGACAATAAACACATCCGCATGTGAAAAAAAAAGAAAAGACATATGATGTAAAAATAAACACGTATGTGTTCTTAACAATTTCGAACACGTTGATTGATGGCAACAACAATCAATAATGGGCGTAGGAACATATGTGGGAACATTGCAGCATGGATGACATGACAATAAACATATCCACGTAGCATAAAAAAAAGAAAGATGTATGGTGTAAGATTTTGTTACAAACATGTTGATTAATCGGATAATGGTTCACAGTCATGATCTCATGCGCCTGAATCAAAAATCAACGGATAAATGTAGATCTCAAATTGAGGTGCATTTGTTGGTTGGAACTTAAAATTTTGTTGAACTTTTCATTAAAAACCAACGCAAAAACATGTTTTCTTGCCATAAAAAAAAAATTCTCAGAAGGTCCAAAATCAATTATGTTTTATTGTCAATTCTCACAACAATTAGTTTAAAAGTTAGTTGTTAAGTAATTTCCGGCCAATTAAAATTATTAAAAAAATTTGTAATTTTGGTTTTCTTATCCGATGATTCTTGATGGAAAAGAGTAAACAGGTTTTCACAGACCACAAACCTATAAAAAATCACCTATATAAATGAACTACGCCCCCTCTCCCTTCTCTTCTCTTCTCTGCAGATCTGATTAAAATATGGAAACGATTTCAAAAATCTGCAAAAAAAATTAAGAGTTTTAGCAAGCAATAGTGACACGACGAGCATTCAATCTTTTATTTGTGTTAACTAGTTATTTTTTTTATTATATAAACAAATGAACACAGATCATTCTATCCTCAGAGTTACGAGGTAATGATTCTCAAGATAGACAAGAGTTTAAATAGGAAAATAATAAGTAAAAGTTACACATTAACTTTTTGTTTTTATAATATATTAATTAATTAAATATTAAAAATAACAAAGCATACCAGGGTTGGCAAATTGACTGGTCCATTGAGAGAGTATAGGTTGTACACTACGAATTCGTGAAAATTGTATTCTTTTCCATCTCAATATACTCAGAATAATCTCCATCACCAATAGTTCCTAATTTATCATCATGCCAATTATTTAAATGTCTCTTCATCGTTTCATTAATTTATCCAATTACTAGAACCTAAGTCATGTGTTAATAAATTCAAATTTAGCTAATGTAAAAAAGATTACAAAGACATGCAATAACATGAGTATTTATTTACTAGAGGCATAGTTATTATTCTTTTCTCTTTCGTTTACCACCTATATTATTATCTCTAATATAATGTTTTTAGGGATAATTAAAACTAGAATGATGATGCATTACACCTACCACCATTCTTTTTAAATAACTAGAATGACGACAACCATCATTCTTATGATAAACACTTACCCAAAATACTCATATCGATCTTTTTCTGGTTTTTTTTTTATTTTTAAAAAAAAACACGTAAACAAAATGTAAAATAATTAAAAAATTATTATTGGCACTTGGTGTTGTACATACTTTTTTTTGATTTTTTTTTTGGAAAACAATTTTTCAATGGCAAAACGTGAGTCTCCTAAAGAAGACGTGTTAATAATTAACCAGAGATACTTTTGTTTATTTGCCTTGATATATATAATGTGGTGTCTTTTAATTTATAAATATTTTAATTGGAATCCAAAACGTGGAGCAGATCTTGCTGGATAATTATAAGATTCTTGATGATGATAAATGAACGATTGATATTTTGCTTTACGTAATCACTAATAATATTATTGTTATTATAATTACAAGATGTCAAGGCAGCACAACTGACTGTTGCAGAAGAAACATTTCAATATGCAATGCTTGATTATCAGAAATTTTAGAGACATTGAAGCGTTCATGCTACTTTGAACACTTACAGTCATTCTCACGAATTCCTCGTGTATAAAGGTTAATATGACAAGATTGCCCTGAGATACGATGATATTGCAGGATTCCCAGGGGGGTGCACGGTTCTGGAGTTTACCATGACTGCATCAATCGTCAAGGATGCTTTCACTATCTTCACAGCACCAGACCAGAGAAGACTGCTGGCACACTAGCCACAAAGTTGCCTGCAATTATTCAGAAACTGATTTATATCCAATACCAAGACATGTCGATTGGACATATTTACAAAAAGATGGTGTAAAAGCTAGTAGTGGTGATGGTAGAGCATCAGCAAGAGAAACGATAGGTAAAAAGACATAACAAATAGATAAATTGATAAAAATCAATTTAATAAGTTTAATAATTAACTGGTTGATTAGGAAGAGTGGCAGCAGGAGTTATTGGAGAGAAATATCTTAAAATGGTTTATAATATATATATTGTTGCATTTGTTTCTTCAGTCTCAAATATAAAATGCCTTTTATCAAAGAAATAGGCTATCATAATAATGATGATCAATTATATTCACAAGATTTTTGGATATGTTAAACAGCATTTCTAGAGATGGTGTTGGTAAAAATATAGTTCAATGTCCTGATAAGGAAATTTCAATAAGAATGACTCAGGTTTAAAAATAAAATTTAATAAATATTTATGCTTTATAAACTCTACAATTTTATAATATAGTAAATTCAAAAAATTTATTTATTTTAGTGTATAATTAAAGCAAAAAAATCTAATGATTCTGTTGGTGGAACTGTAACATGTGTTATTCGTAATGTACCATCAAGATTGGGTGAACCATGTTTTGATAAATTAGAAGCTAAATTAGCACATGCAATGTTTTCAATCCCTCTACCAAAGGATTTGAGATTGGAAGTGGCTTCCAAGGTACAACTTTGTATGGTCATCAACATAATGATCTTTGGATTAAAAAAGATAATAATGTAACCATTCTGGTGGAATTCAAGTAAATAACTTTTTCATTATCATTCAAAAGATTTAAAGATTATGATTAGAATAATTTGATGTTTGTTACCGCCCAGATTAAAAAATGTTAATGATAATAGGGAGAATCAATCACAAACGGTAAAAATATTTATTTTAGAGTTGCAATTAAACCACCAGCAACTATTTCTCAAGAATAAAAAACTGCTACATATGAAGGTGTTGATAGAATTCTTGTTGTAAGAGGCCATCATGATCCTTGTGTTGTACCACGTGCTGTCCCAATTGTTGAGGCAGTGGCTTGCTTTAGTTGTTATGGAGTAAGTTATGAAAAAATATGAATTAATTTTATATTTATATTTATATTTATATTTATATTTAATATAAATTATTTTCAAATATCTTCATTTAGTGCACTAATGATTCAACAATCACGTAAAACTGCTGCATCATTACTTCCACAAATACTTAATATACCTGTTACAATGTTAGGCGTTGTTCCAATAAAATCATCTAATGAAACAACAGAAAATAAAGACTCATAGTTTAATTTTTAAAAAAATAAATTTTATAATACTATTATCAAGAACAACAAACAAATAAATGGATAATAAATTAATTGTATTAACATCATGAAATAGTTGGTTCTTTTATAATTGGCCTCAGTATATGTATAACAACGCCGCAATTTTTTTGTGAAACATCAAAAAAATAACTTTTTTATTTTACTTTTTTTTAACGCAAATTCAAAATGTAAGATTTTTTTTTTAGAATTTTAATAATTTAATTTTTTTGTTCAAATCATCACAATTAATAATAGAACAATTCTAAATTATATAATACAAGAGAGAGAGAAAAATAGAAATATGACAGATTTTCCAGAAATATCTTCAACCCTTTCATCGTCAACATTGACATCAAATTCGGCGTCAGTAGATTTATTAGATCCAGCAGCCGATTTTTTAGCAAGAGAACAAGCAATTTTAGGTGAAGATGCGGCTTTGTTTTCTAATAATAATAATAATAACAATGGCATAACTTCAATAACTCCAACATCGGTTATTAATGACGAGTTCGATGATTTTTCAACAAACAATAGTAATATCATTAGTAATAATAATATTATTAGTATTAGCAGCAGCAGTAGTAATGGTAGTAGTAATGTATACAACACAACTAATTCAACCAGTGCTATTGATTACTCGGCTTTTAATGATGAATTTCCACCATTGGAAAATAGCGATCTTAATAACAATGTAAGTGTGTATAAATAAATAATTAATTAAAAGCAATATCAGGATAATTAAAATAGTTGATGTTTTTATTTATAGATTATTAATGGTGGTTCATCATTTGAAGAAGAAGAAACAGAATTTATCAAGTAAATATCCATTCATTTATTTTCAAAAAGTGATTTAAAATTAAATCTTATAATAATTACTAATTGCGTTGCATTCATTTAATTATCGAAAGACATTGGAGAGAGGAACAAAGAGAAGTTATCGCTAGGCGTGATGAAGAATCTGAAGAAAAAAAACAAGAAACTATTAATAAAGCACGTGAAGATATTGATAAATTTTATGATGAATATAATGAAAAAAAAGCCCGTTCGCATGAAGAAAATAAGTAAGAAGAACTTATTTTGTCGTTATGATTATTATTATTATCAGTAATATTATTGATACCATTTGATATAATATTAGCAATTATATAATATTAACATTTAAAAAAAAATTTTTTTTGTTAATTGATTGATTAATTAGAAAAAATGAGGAGCAATTTTTTAAAGAAAGAGATGACATTACTTCAGGAACTGCTTGGGGACGTATTTGTAAACAAGTTGATCTTTCAACTGCACAAAGTAAGAGTGGAAGTAAACATGTTAAAGATGTATCCAGATTCAAGGAATTACTTTTAAGTTTAAAGAAAGATGAAAAAGCTCCTGGGTCAGGTGGTTACTAAATAGGTTTATTATTATTATTATTATTATTATTATTAGTATTATTATTAATATCATGAGTAATCAATCGTATAGTATTATATTATTATTATGTTATATTATATATATTGCGATTAAATGGTTTTTTATATTTAAATCTTTTTTTTACAAAAATAAAAATCAAAAGAAAAAAATATAATGTAAAATCCAAGACTGTATTTTTGCAAAAAAAATTTATTTTATATTTTCTGAAATGAATTAGGATTAATATATACGAAAATAACGATATATATATATATATACACACACATGTATCTAGTAGTTATAACTTTACAAATTATTCGTCTATTATGATACCACAGAAGAAATTTTGTTTGATTTTTATCGGAACTGAATTATTTTATTATTTGTGTTACTGTGCGTATTTTTCAGTCATCATGTAAAATAATTGATTCATAAAATAGAACTTTATATTAAAAAAAAGACAAGCTATTCAAGAAATATAAAAGGCAATCTTGCGTTATAAGGTAATATTGATATAATGAATCTTTGGTCTTTACAACATCATCACAATAGTAATAAGCTATCATTTTAATGTCAAAAAAATTTTATTAAGTAAATTTTTGGGAAAATATGACAATTGAAAAGATTTTGATTTTGAAATTGAATTGTTTATTGTCTATGTGGAATCAAATCAAATATTGTTATTATATCTATATTATTGTGTTATATTAGTACTATTATATTACTACTATTATATTATTACTATTATATTATTACTATTATATTACTACTATTATATTATTGTATTAATTATATTAATTATAAGAAATCTATAAAATAAAATTGATATATTACAATTAATAATACTATTATTATCATCATCATATAACCATTAATTAATCCATTATTTACCAATGATTACAACAATGATTTATTCTAATTAACTAATCCATGTTTCTTTTTCTTCTTCTCCTGGGAATGATTTGAAAAACTTCGTATTCGTCAACAGAAAAATGGATATCATCAGAATTGGCTCTAATTGGAAGTTCGTAATCACCATGTTGACAACAACACCTTGACTCGTTTTTGAAATTTCCTGTCATTTTTAAATCACCAGTGCCAAATGATGGACCATAATTATTATAATAGTTGATGGCTCTTGATGGATCCTTGACTCTACTAATGATGGATTTATCGAGATCCTTGTCATCTAAACAAAATATAAAACTTTCTTTACAGTATCCCCAAGTATTTTGGGACAACCAATCAATAGGCGTATATCCACCATACAATTCGCTTGATCCATTCACTTTCATTATAGTGATAGTGGCACCCTTGGAATCACATTTGGAATGAAAATCCAATCCGGTGAATCCATCTCTTGAGCCTCTTAACAACAATTTAAATTCATATGGGTTTTCCCAAGGTTCATAAAATGATGATTGATAATTAGGATTGTTATTGATATTAACACGTTTCTTATTATTATATTTATTGACTAATAAATCTTTTTTATCTATCCAACTTGCTATCATAGCAACTTGTTTTCTTTCTATTATTACAGAATTAAAATTACTTCTTTTTGGTTGCATCAATTCTAAAGAAGGTTGATGATTTGGCACAAGATAATACTGTAGAAGATCTTCGTACAATTCAATTGGCAATATTCTAGCAAAAGGTTTAACTTTCTTGTAGAAATCACCACTTGAAATGTGTAGAAACCTGATTAGCGGAATGAGATTTTCTAATTTCTCGCTTAACAGCTCCCATTCTTTATAAGTCCATTGCGTTAGATCAAAAGTCTTTATACCGGATGTTGATGCACCCCATTTAACCAAATGATCCCATAAAATTATTTCTTCTTTACCTAAATCATCTCTCATCAATAACTTTATCAGTGCTTGTTCCTCCAATGTTGAGAAATCTTCTGAATGGAACACTAGTTCTGGATCATTTCTAATTATCTCGTTACAATAATTTTTCAATTTGTAGAACGAATCGCCGTGAATGTGTATTAATTTGTAAGTCGTGGAAAAATTACGTTGAATCCATCCAGTTTTATAACATAGTAAATAATCCTGTACAAAATCAATAAGTTCCTGAATACATAATTCATCAGCCGCTCTTAATAAATCGAGTAATACAGGTGTATCATAATCATCAAGGCTCAATGAACCTGTATATATAAACCTTTGAGATATTTGAAAGTTAGTTGATGGAAAAAATATTTTATAATTAAAAATTAAAATTAAATAATTGTCGAAAGAAAAATTACTTTAAAACCAATTCAAAAACTATTGGACTGATATTTGGTTTGTTAAAAACGATAATGTTATTTTCGGTTTTGGTCCATTCGCTTAATAAAGCAGCTCGGAAATACGGTGACCTGACTCTTAGAATCATCGAGTGTGCACGGAATGTTTTAAAATCAGGCTCCTGCCCAACATTTATTATCATGTTATAATCTTGAACATCATCTTCCAAAAGCAGTGACAAGTCTCTTGAAAGGCTTGATAAAAATTCACAAGACATTAATGTTGAAGAGTAATAACTACCACTGCTATTTGAAGAGTATGATGATTTGAGTGAAGAGGATGAGGTTTTTGTTAAAATGGAAGTTGAGGAGGTTGAAGTTCCTATCATTATAGGAGCTGAATATGTCATGTTCATTGTTTTTTTTTTAATAATTGATATATATATATATATTATATATTATTATATATATAATATATAATATAATTTATTTATACTGCTATTGATTATTTTTTTTATTTTTTTAAAAAAAAAAAAATTTCGGAATTTAGTAATCGAAAATGTGGTTTGTTTTATTTTATTTTATTTTATTTTATACTAATAGTATATAAATGATGAACACTATGAAAAAAGCAAACTTGAACGTGTTTCAATGAAAAAATTGTCAAAAGAAAAATTTTTAGTCTCCGATATTTATATTTGTCTTGTTCGATTTAATTTATATATGGTAAAACGAATTATTATTACATAATAAAAGTCTTTTTTATTTAAAAATAAAAAAGCCGGAGAAGGAAATAAAATAGAGAAAATAAAAAAAAGTAAAACTACTTATAAATCATGATGTATATATATATGCATGATGAAGATTTGGCTCGATCATTCGTATTATTACCATTATTAATTAATATTATGTAAATGATAACTAAAAATGGTGTTGTGTGAATTATTTAATTTCACACATTTTAATTTTTTAATATTTTTTATTTGTCATACGAGGATTTGCAGGGTCTCACAAAAACTTTGCTTGCTTGCTTGCTTAACATTAACGAAAGAACGAACGAACAAACGAACGAACAAATAGAAGAACGAACGGACAAATCTAAAAACAAATAATGGTTTTTTTTTAGTGGAGGAATGAATGAGCGCAAAGGGTGAATGAGAGATGATGAAAGACGTGAAAACTTGAGGATTTCCTTTTTCTCACGCTCTATTCCCCATTCAACATAAATATGTGAAGTTCATATATAGTTATGCACGTAAATACAATTGGCTTAATCTTAATTATAATATTAAAATAGATTAGCTTGTTTGACAAAAAAACAAAGCATCGAATCTTTCGAATCTTCTTCTTATACTAGTTTAATTAATCAAATGACATAATTGTGACGAAGCACGAGTGCTCGTTTTCTCAAGGCCAGTTATTTGTTTACACAAATAATAACCTTGATTGTTTTCACATGATAAACAACGCTGATCTACATTTTTAATTATTCACGTAAATCAATTAATTTAGAAGATTAATTAAGAGTTTTTGGTTGGCCAAAATTCTCGTCGATCAGTGGCTATAAAGCTGATTCCAAAAAAAACTTTTTTTAATTTACCATGGATTCAGTGTTAGAAAGTGCTCGTTTTATTAGCGAAGTAACTAAATATATTTGATGGCTTTTCAAAAAAGTTGTTTTTAATGTTACTTATTTTGAATCTGTCCTTTTCCAGAATAGTAAAGATGTTAGTATTCCAGATGATGGAATTCAAAAAGCTGCAAATATTGTAAGCATGATTTTTTCAATTGATCAATTAATCAAACTTTAAAAAAAAAAAAAGAAGATTAATTATTTATATTTATCAGATATATGAAAATATGAAAAAAACAAAATATTCAATTTCTTCTTGGAAAAAAAATGAACTTCATCCCAGTATTGCAGATAACAAAGCCATAGATTGGTTGGTAAAAAAGATTTTCTTCCTTCCTTCACATCTTCTTACCAAAAATAAATTATCTTCTTTTCTTTTTATATGCAAGGATTTTTATGGTAGATCTTTTAAACTTTTCATTTTGGTCAGAACTTGATAAAGAAATTCAAAGTAGCCCAAGTAGTGAAAGATTTTCTATTGAATATAACAATAATAGATATACTGGCTATTGGTCTTTATGTGCTGCAATAAATCGAGGTATATATGTGTGTATGTGCATTGGAATTGATTAGTAATTTTAATTAAAGATTAATCATCATCATTATAATAAACATAAAAAGCTTTGGAGGACGAGATTCCAATAACAACTCCATCATTTTACATGTCTGAGAAAAAGTTAACAGATAATGGTATTCGGCACATATTTCGTTCAGCCACAAAAGAAGAGATGCCTTTGCTCGATGAACGTATTCATAGTATTCGCGAAGCTGGCAAAGTTTTAGTTGAGGTAGTTTTATTTCTTTTTTTTCAGTAAGTTTTTTCAATTGTTAAATTAAAAAGTATTTTCATATCTTACTTTACATTGAAGAAATTTGGTGGTAGTTTTGTCAATTGTATTACACGAGCCAATAAATCTGCAGCGAATTTATTAAAAATCATTACAGAAAACTTCAATTCTTTTTGTGATGAAAGCAATTTTCAAGGGCGTAAAGGTATCTATCTTCTTTACCTTTTTCTTTATTTCTTTATCCTTTATTCATATGACATTATTTAAAAAAATTTTAAAACAGTCTTCTTTTATAAACGTGCACAAATCTTAATTGCTGATATATGGTAATATAAATATAAATATTTAATTATTTGACAATTATTAAATATTAATCCATATAAATAATATAAATACCTAAAGGGCTTGCTTTGAAGGAAAGGAACTTGGAGAATTCCATGATATTGATAAAATTACAATGTTTGCAGATTACAGGCACTACTATTTCTTATTAACATTGACACTAATATTAATATCATTATCATTATATTAATTTTTTTGACCTTTTCTATTATTTTAGAGTTCCACAGGTTGAGCAGTTCTTGAAAATTTCAATGAAAATCAAATCAAATATTATTTATTTGACCTTTTCTATTTCCCATGAATTAATTAATTGTTTACAATTTTTATCAGGCGCTTTACCATTTAGGTGCATTATCTTATTCGCCAAGTCTTCTTAATCTCCTTGAATCATTCACACTAATTCCTCATGATTCTCGTCCTGAAATTGAAATTAGAGGTAAAAAATAAAAAATCAATCAATTAATTAATTTGTTGCAATAATAATATTTTTTTATTATTTTTTTATAATAATAATAATAATAATAATAATAATAATAATAATAATAATAATAGGTTGTTCTATATGGTCGGTTGAACTAATACTTCGTACAATTAATGAGAAAATTAAAAAAGATAATGATGGCGATAACGGTAATAGTAGTAATAGTTCTTCTTCCTCAGGTGGTATAAATGCAATTATTTTGGATTACTTTATATGGGATTTTGCTAGTCAAAATAAACATAAACTAAGTGTAAGAGCACATAGAACAAGATCTATTTTTTATTAAATTACGTTTTATTCATTATTCACATTTACTTTTATCGATTTACAACATTTACATCTCTTTTATAATAATATTTAAATGATCATAGATTTAATATTAAATTAATTTTGTAATAAAAAATTCTCTGGATATAATCTCCATATTTGGTTAGCGCTTGCCTTTGTGCCGAAAAATCTGTCTTGTAGTTTTTGTTACACGATTCCGCCACAATAACCCCAAATTCTATCAAAATGGGTATTAGTATGGTTTCTAAGCCTCACAATAAGATACACGTAGGAATGTTCTTAATGATGACTCGGGGCATGGACAATAGAAAGGGGTTAACGTCAAAAAATCATAATTTTGAGTTAATACCATATATATAAACTTGTCACAAGAACAATTTTAGCTTAGAAACTATGCCCACTTAATAAACTTTTGAGAAAAAATAGTAAACAAATCATTCATCACAAAAATTAAATTTAGCTTAGTAACCATGTCAACTTGATAAAATTTCTAGTTTCTAAGCTAAAATTGTTCTCGTGACAAGTTTATATATATGGTATTTAACTCAAATTTATGATTTTTGAAATTAACCCCCTTTCTATTGTCCATGCCCCATTTATAATTTTTACGTTAAAGCTTTTCAAATCAATCATCCACTAAAAAAATCCCATATCTTTTATTGAAAGTTTTTCATTAAGGTAGAGTTAACAAAGAAGTGAAATAAATATCTTATTAAACTTGATCTAGATTATAAATATGTACCTTGTGATTTCTTTGAATGTTTTTCCTCCCCAACTTCTTTGAGTGTCCATAACTTTTGAGCAACATCCTTTGCTTCTCCTTCTCCTTAGTGAATTTTCCAGGCAGTGCGCATAAGGGATAATATATAATATCTTTTTTCGCTAGCTCCCTCCCTTCTCATTTGAGCCAGAAGCCGAACAAGGTAATTCCGTTTACGTCAATCTCTTGACTTATATATTAATGGAACTGGTACAGTCGGGAACTTTTACCTTGAAACTCGTGGCACTTCACTCTTCGATACAAAAAATTATTATTATCAACAAAAAATCTGCGTAATACACATAGGGATGTTAATCAGTCCTTTTGGGGCCGGTCTCATTATATGATTGCTAGTCCCAGGACCAGACCGGACAGTTAAAGATCGATTAACATCTCTAATTTCTCTGAAAAATGATGGGTTTGGGGTATCATCACTACAACAAATTACTTGACAACTTCATAATGGTAAATAATTAAGAAATGTCTCAAGATTATGCCTTGGTACTGTGCATACCTCATCCAAAATAATTACACGCGGAATGAAATTTTTCATGTGTTACACGTCAGTATGTGGTGGATTTTTGACTTTAAAAATACTAATACTTAAAATTGGCATATTACATAACAAATTTTTTAATTTATTATGTATAAAAACAATACATCTCCTTTTTTAGAAAGATAATCACGTTTTCTACTAAATAGTCGACCATAGGTTTTTTAAGACAATATTTATTTACACTAATCTTTATATAAGTTGTTCGGAAGATTGTGACATCAATCTTTTTATGCACACAAAATATAATAATAATAAAAAACATGAATGCATGTAAAAAAGGAATGGTTCTTCTTCTTTTCCACGAACAATAAATTTGTATTTTTAAAGTCATGTCATTAATTGCATCATCTATTATCTCATTTGATAATCTATGATGCAAAAAAGAAACATTTTCTGAGATAATAAATGATGATATAACTAGCAAGATAATAAAATATAAATATATTTGTTTACGATACAAAGAAACGTTTTTTCTGGGATAACAATAATAGATACAACCAGTGATGTAACCAACAAAGATAATAAATAAAAATAAAAATTTATTGTTCATAATAGATAATATGATATAATTTTTTACGTCAGATTACAAATTTTGAATATTATACGTTACTATTACTAAAAATAGTAATGATGACCTCTCACCCAATGTAAATATCACGTGAGAACGACTTATCGAGAGTACTTTACATATATTAATATTAATATCCTAGAAGAAGGGTTGACCGACTTACAGCTTATCGCGATTTTATATAGATTTGACGACTTATCAAGAAACAACTTATCGATTTTACCTGTGCATCATTATTTACAACTTTTAAAGCTAAAACAAGTGTTTTCAACGTAATAGTAAACGTGACGAGTAGCAAGAAAAGTTGGCTTATGTAACACCCACTTCCTATCCTCATTCTGAATTCAAATCAAAAAAATTCTAATAATATGATATAAATATAAATAAAGTGATGGTTAGAGATTGTGTGGTTGGCACTTGTTCAACTTGCCAAAAATGGGCCAAAAAAGGTTGTTTGGATCCAATGTGATTGTCGATTATCTCGTAGCCATAGACCTTTCTTAATTGTTAATATTAATTTATAAGTAACGAATAAATATTGGTTTAACATTAATCGGATAAAGGCTTCCACATGAACCAATATTTACAATTTGCATCATATTTCCCAAGAAATCTTTCATTGTTTCTTTTTTTCATCTGATTTCGAGTAGAATTATTATCATTTGTCGTACTGAATGAATTACAAACAATTCAAATTTTGATTTGACCCGAAGCTAGTTTAGAGAATTCAAAAAAAATTTAGGGTCACAGCATTAATATTAATCTCGACTTCGATTTCGATTTCGATTTCAATTTTCGCTTCTAATACTAATACTAACACTAAGAGTATTTCAATTTTCTGAAACTAGTATTAATATCAGCATTAATAGTATTAGTATTAGTATTAGTATATTTTTTCGAAAGTTTCGCCATCATATGAGTTAAATTTATAATTAAAACTTTTGGGCAGGTCAGCTAATTTATATTTCACGCGCGGATCTAGATTCCACGGCCAAGAATACATATGTAAAATAACTTTCTTAAATATTTATAAAATATGATAAAGAAATGGGAGAAATGATGTCAAAATTTTAAAATCATCGATCAAATTTTATTTTATTTCGCTTTATTTTTGTTTGCTTGATATTTTAGGATTTTCTCACTTATGTAACTTACTGTTTTTAAGATATTTATAATACATTAAATTGACAAGGTTTCAAGAATAAATCCATATATTTCAACTTTGTTACATTATTACCGATGATGAAATAAAAGACAACCAATAATTAATTAATAATGATTTAAAATACAATTCTACTTATTTGGATTAGTAAATATTTCTGAAGCTATGGCATGGAAGAGATTGGCGAAACAGTAAATTTTTATGAAAAGGAGATTAAAAGCGTTTGATCAAATATTGATAAAGAGGTACTCAAAAAAGAACAGATAATGTAATCTTGCTATGAGAAATAGTAATTATGCTGAAATATGCAAATGAATACAGAAACTTTGTTCTCAAAAACATTTCATAATACATAAGGATTCTAAATGGAGAAAATCTTATTAAATAATTACAATGAATTTAAAAAATTCAAATCAGTTTAATTATTTAATGAACACTCATATAAATGAATTGTGATTATGACCATTTGAAAAAGAATACTATGAGGAAAATTAGGATTTTTGTGTAATTTTTATTTTTATTTTTAATATATATGATATTAAATAAATTTATAATAAAAAATAAGAGTGATTAGCATCTGGGTTGCAGCTAGAGAGTTTAATTATTAAAGTTATAAAATAAAAAAGTGTAATGAATGGAAAATTTGAAGTATCGTAACCTTCAATCCATTCATCAGTTATAATATTTTCAATTGATTAATTTTTATCATCCACAATTATTAGCACACCCTTGGTTCCAAATACCATTACACACATAACAACTATCATTAAACAAAAATATTAATATTAATATGCATCATATAACAAATATTAACACGCATTTATATATATGTACACTTACAATTGTGCTTTACATTTGCAAGTCATGTGATTACATCCACCATTTTTCTGAATCAAAAAATTACATTTTGGGCACCGTTTCCACCCTTCCTTTTTTACTAAATTAATGATATCTAAATCTTCAGGCGATCTTTGATCAGCAGGTAAATCTTGATATTCTTTACAGGTGAAACCTTAAAAATTCAATTAATTAATAAATGGTAAATAGTAATTATTAATAATATTAAATGTATCAGACGGATACTTACCATTATGCCAAGGAGAAACCTTACATTCGGGACAAAAACTTTTATGGCAAGACGGACAATTAACAGAACGAGCGCTACCATTATAGTCACTAAAATCAATAATCGTACTACATTTTTTATTAGGACAATAAACCTATTATTCAAATTAATGTAATTAACCAAATCAAAATTAATACAAATTAATACAAACCAATCAATCATCAATTAGTTTGTTAGGTTTACCTTCTTATCACCAATTGCCATTTCTGCCATCTTTCGATAGTATTTTTCAAGGTCTTCCCTACTTAAAGATTGTTCAATAATTCCTTCTGAAATCCCATCTTTTTGACATGTAGCTGATTTAACTGGACACAAAATTGGAAATTTAATATTATCCCCTTGAATTTCTACATTAACATATTTTGATATACATAAAAAGCAAAACCCGTGCGAGCAAGATAGTATTACACCCATAGCAGCATCAGCATTATTACTTGATGACCGTGATGAATTTGCACCACCGCCTCCACCTCTTCCATGAATAATTAAGCTGCAAAAACATATACTACAATTATGATTATTTGATGATGATGATGATGACGACGACGATGATGATGATGATGATGACGACGACGATGGTGATAGTGGTGATGATGATGATGATGATGATGATGATGGTACCCGATTCTTTCTTTGTCCTGTTAATTCAATTATATGTGAATTTTTTTGGTTAATTAGTATATGTATGTAGCGTGAAACAATGAAGAAATAACTAAATAAAAAAAAATCTTACTTTCTGATGGCTTATAATGCGGATTTGGTATGGATTGATAATCAATAAATAAATTATTGTTAATATTAATGTTTTATATGTTATTGTATAACAAGTGATTTTTAAATCAATTGTATTTTTACCAATGGTTGAGTAAAATTATTGATTTCATATTGTTGAGCGGCAAGCTTTAAATTTCAAAAAATTAAAACAATTAATTTGTAGTAAATTAGTTCAATTAGTACAAGTAGGCAGTTCATATATATATATATATATATATATATATAAATATTTACTATTTCTTGATCTATATTTATTTTGCCACCATTTTCACTATCATGTAATTGTCTAGCCAATTCTTCATCAGCAAGTAATTGAAGAGTTTTTTTATCCTTATAATTGTGATTAATTACAATATTAATATTGATAATAATAACTAGTTATATATTAATTAATTAATGCATTTATTGTAACTCACATTTTCATCATCATAACTACTATTCCTATGGTATTGCGGTGCAATGAACTCTTGATTAACAAACAATCTCTCGGTATTATGATGCATATTAGCTTTCTCGTTACTTTGTAATTGTATAGCAAGCTTTTCATCCTCGAGATATTGGACAACTCTTGCATACTTTAATTGAATAATAATTAGTATTATTTAATTAGATACTGTAATTATTAATTTTTTATTAATTAATATACTAACTTCTTCATCATCCGAACTTTTTTTTTCTATTTTTTCTGAAATTTGTATCAACTTTTTTGAATTTTGTTTTTCTAATTAGTAAGAATTCATTATTTAGATGTAGATAAATGGACGAATGACTCACTTCCTGTTTGTAACGATCGATTCTACCACTTGTTGTATCATTAAAAGCTGCAAATGCCAACCTTTCATTGCTAAGTACTCTGGTAATTCGTTTCAACTTTATATGTGATGATAATCAATTTCTATTTTACACCAAAAAAAACCATTTAATTATTATCACCAACCTCTTGATCAAGTTTTGTAATTCTGGCACCTGTTTCATCATTATATCTTTTCCTATTTTCTTCCTCAAAAAGAATCCTACTACCAATTTCTCTTAACTTTTTTTAAAAACATATTGTTATTATTGTTATTATAGTAAACAACCATCAACAATAATTTCAAAATTGTTTTACTTTTTTAAGTTGTTGATCATTTTTCTCGTTATTTGGTGATCTTTGTTGTCCATTTCTATCGACAATCCTTTGAATAATGTTAATTATACCGTTTATTCTTTCGGTGTTGCCTGAAACCGTGTCAACAACCTTCACAACAATAATTAATAATTATTAGTGTAAATTATAATCGAAAAAAGAATCAATTAACAATTGGTAGTTATTAAACCTGTGCATCTCCATTAAATTTTTTAGTATTAACTTGCTGAATAAATTATTAATCGTTAATAGTAAATTATTATTGTTTGTTCATTGATAAAATCAATCAATGAATTAATCAGATAATTTGTTTTACCCTGGATGCTAATAAAGAACCAAGTAAACCAATTGTTTGCTCCAAGTCCATTTTGTTTTAAAAAAAATTTTAAGTTTTAAAAACAACAAACAACGAAAAATGTTTAAAAAATAATATATATATATTTTTCTATTAATTTTTCATTGGTGGTGTTTAGTCAAACAAAAACAGTTACAAAAAAAAAAAAAGAATTCTTTGTTTTTATGCCTTTTTTTGGCTTCAATAAATTTTGTGAAGTAAATGAAATAATTAATTTGGGAATTGTTTTGCCGTAAATATTTTTAAAAAAAACATCACACGTTTTTTTTTATCATCAATAAAAAATATTAGATTGAGAGTAATTATCACGATTCTTTATTTGACGCAAGTAAAAATAATTTAAATCTTAGCAATTTAAATTTAGCGATTTTTTAAGTAATTTTTTTGATTGTTTATGTTAATATTGTTCACATTAAGAAATAGTATGATGTAATTTATTTTTACATTTGAAAAATTAAAAAACCATTTTAAAAATATCGGATTCTTTATAAATTTTCAATCCCTTTATGACGCGAATAAGCTGTACTATTATAAATCGTGTTTTGGTTTAATGTGATGAATGAATGACATTTTTCTAGTTCATAGACGGATCAGAAAATATATTATTATTATTATTATTATTATTATCAATATGTAAATCATTGGATCGTGATCACGTTTATGATTATTTCTTTTTTCTTTTTACAATCTTAATGAAATTCTTATTTTATTTTAATGACAAACCAACATAAAATCGTATCTTTAACACTTTTGTGAATTTGTAACCAAAAGCTATTAATATTCTATAATGCATGAATTTTTCTATGAGAATTATATCCAGTAATGGACATGTAACTGTTATATGATATCAAGAAATAGTTGTTATATTGCTATAAAAAAAATATGTTAAACGCTTATTATTATTTATTCTTTTTATTACATACAAAGACTTCTAGACCTGTTAACCAATTTCTATAAGCATCCATAAATTTTCGGTTTTAAGAGAAACAGGATCTAATGTCAACGGGACAATTTTTCTAATGGTTTAAAAGGCACAATCACCACATAGACAAAGATCTAATCATTGAACATCCATATTTCGTGATATATCTGTGCGACTCTTAATGCATATTAATATGTGCATTTTCCACCACATATCGATACATTCACTCGTCTTCGTTTCTCACCGCATTCCAAATTTTGGTTGCCATAGATTCAGGCCTCTGTTTATAATTTCTCCAAACTTATTGTATAATTCTTGCATGTCCAATATCGGTTTTAGGTCTAGAACACTCGTGATTCCAATGATCCTGCATCAGGTCTTTAGGTTCAACAATTTCCGTAAACACTTTCCTAGGCTTTACATTCACATTAACGCGACCTACCTTCCAACACCCGGAACATATCGCAGTTCCATTCTTAAGTGTTTTTGGTCTGTAGTAATTGCTACCTCCGGGATAAGAAGCAAATAAACAATATCTATGATACGTGCAAGTTTATTCTCGCTTAATAAATTTTGAATAAAACTTTCATCCTGTTTCACAATAGACAAGTTGTCATATGATCTTTTAAATCCCAAGGAGTTTCTCAAGGAGTTTACCATCATAATGAATATAATTGTGGATATATGCCATGTCATACTTCATATCATATCCAGGACGGTTATTAAAGGGGTTGTTTTGTTACCGAGAATAATAGTGATATCAAAACCAGACATATTTAGCGGTTATAATAAATTTAATGATTTATATGTGATTTATTAACCTGTAGTTTAAGACTACATGATTTATTTTGTGTAAATCCTGTTCGAATCATTTTGATATAATAATAAAAATAATAAAGCAAGAAGAGAATTCTATATATAGTGCAAGACACCTAGTCCCACAACTTTTTATTGTCCTTGTAGATCCTTCTCTAACTCCAAAAATGGAAAT